TAATTCTTTTTTAATATATGTATGCATTTTTATTTTTAATTTTCTCTTCTTCATTTTTTAAATATGTTTCCAAAAATTGTTTTAACTTTGCTTCAGACAAATTCAAATTATAATATGTAATAATACATGACCGCCTTTGTAGGGTTAAACATCAGCATCATCAGCTTTTTCGTCAAAAGCGCGCCTACTTATCTGCCTCGATCATTATTTGAAGTACATATGTACATATGTACATATACACATACACACAGGATTTTACGCCAATTCATTCAAATAAGTAGATTCGTTATCCAACAATCGGTTCACAACGTAAATCGGCAAGCAAATGATGATGATGCATTGCTGCATTCACCAATCGACGAACATACACACAATCCAATGAAAATACATACATAAAAAAGTATACATATATCCATATATGTACATATGTTTGTATGTACATTGGGCGATAAATCACTCTTTATAAATACTTATACCTGTGGCTATGTAAGTCATATGGCAGCTGGCCAAATGCCTAGCAACAGACATGCATACATATGTACATACATATATACGAACCGTATAAGCATCCACACATACACATATGTATATCTATAGAGAGACGTGCTATCAGCAGCAGCACTTTATCACCGATTTGCTGACGCGCGCACAAACGAGCCCCCAAATCTGCCGAATGAGCGTTGAGAGTTCATCGCGGACTGGCAATGTTGTCGCTGCTTCTCTGCTGCTGTCGTCATTACTCGGCTGCGTGGTGACGGTGTAGTTGCCACTTGGCAAAGAAGTGTAAAACCACGGGTTGATACTGTTATATACTCAAATACCATATTTATGTAGGTATATACATATAAACACATACATATGTATGTATGTACATACGTATGTTTGCATATACAAAGGTGCAAATGCTGTGCGCGGAGCACAAGCAATAGATTACCGCTGTGAGCGCTGGCGAGAGCACCTCTTTCTGTGAACTTGAATGTCGAGGCTGGTGAGCAGGGCGCTCACGTGGTTTTATTGCTGAGTAATTTGTACACATTTACTGTTTGTGATTTTAGATAACTGAGCAGCAAGAAAAGTAAAAGCGAATTTCTTCAACTTCTATGTAATCACATATACATATATATTTGATTTATTTGCAAAATGAGTTGCTCGAGTTTATCTTAAAATGGTTGTGAAATAGCGCGTTGACGGCAATGAAGTTCAACTAGTAGAAATCGACGACTCAGCGCTACGAAGTTGAACTAGTTAATTATTTAACTAAATTGAAATAAAAAAACCCATTTATAACGGAGATGTATGCATGCTCATTTGTTCATATATTTACTTTGTAATTACCATTAATTATTGACTTTAATGTGCGGAGTTATGACTAAATCAGCTGAGATTTTTTGTTGCGAACTCGCCGTTACGCTTAATTCATGAAAATTGATAGCCAACGGAGAGGTGTGAAGTATATGTTTGCTAAAAAAGTGTAAGGCAGGCTTTAAAGCAAACAGCAACATTTTCTGTTTATATACATATGTATTCATTATAACTATAAAAGAAAAATAAGTTGAAGTATTTTAGAGATACGAAAAGACTTTATCGACTACCCAAATATTTTTAGACTAAATAACATTTCGAATAAATTTTATCAAAATTAAAATAAAAAATAAAATAAAATAAAATAATGACAAATTGCCGGAAACTAGATTTCATTCAAAATTTTGTTAGGTTAAATTATTTTAAATCTTAACCTTATACAAGACAGTGACGTAGCTACAACTTCAGGCGCCCGGGGCCAAGGATGTTCTGCCGCCCCCCTTTATCTACCTACCTACAAGTTTCATGAGGTGGCTCGAGTAAAAGTGATTTTTTCAAAATATCTTCGATATTAAGTATACGAAATTTAGGAAAGACACGCAAATTCTGAAGTTCCAAAATTCTCACAATACGGTTTTTGAGAAAATTGACGGTAAATTGACAAGACATTTTATTAAAAACCATAAATCCTATCCATATGGTTTGGATAAAAATTAATATTTTTCATTGTTATTCAAATTATTGCATTGTGAGTGTACAATTCTTTATCTTTTATAATAAATTTTCTAAAAAAATGGTTGAAGTATTTTTCTGAATAATAAAAATTAAAGAAGATCGTTTTGTCGCCCTCTAGCTGAGTGAACATAAAGTTTATTTGAAAACCAACATTTTTTTGAAGGTAAAAAGTATTGTAAAAATTTGTTGGAGAAAAATTTTAGTATTTTTTGTTATTATTTAAGTTTTTTAAATTTTTTCTTTGAGAGATATGCATATGTATATGTATATGTTATTTTATTAGTATTTTTGTAAGGTTTGTTTTTTGTTTTACTCAGCCGTGTAAACCTTATTCAATTAACTAAATATTTCTAGTTAAACCAGTCTTTTATAACCAGCTTCTCAGTCATTTTGCAGGTGTTAAGCTTCAGGTCACATACTTGCAGAGATTTTTAAATTTTATTTGCCACAGTGTTTTAAGTGAACATGATTCTTGCCTTGCTATGCATGTAGCTTGACGTTTTACTAAAAATTTTTCAATTATTTGAACATAAATTTTGGAGTCTTTGCGCGGCTCAGCGCCATAAACTCGAATCATAAATAATTACACACAGCCTAACGTGCTTATGCAGATTTTGTAGGCTGTCTGCAAGCGCTTAATAACTCCAAATTTTTATTTTCATTCATTTTTTATTTTTCCATTTTTCATATTTTTTTTGTGAAATTTTTTTATTTATTTTTTGTTAACTTTTAGTTTTTTTTGGCTTGTTGCTCTCGTAGTCACGCTTCATCGCCTTATTTGTGTTCAACAATATGATTTATAGTTTGCAACTTTGGCATATTTTAATGTAAATGAAGGCAAGAAAAAAAAAATATTAATTAAAAAGGCGCTTTAAAGCCGTTAATGGCATTTTAGTGTAATTGATAATGTAAACACCATTAAACTCGCACTGGTTACCGTAAATATTCGGTAATAAATGGTTCAAGCGCAGCGAAGCCATTATTCACAGGCTAGACTCTTGACTGTGCTTTAAAGCTTTGGTTATTTGTGTGTGTGTGTTCAAGTGTGAAACCGTTGTTTGTTTCAAACAGTTTCGGTAATGGTTGTACGTTTGACGCCTTTGTTATGCTTTTCTGGTCAACAAATAACGCGCACTGTTACATATTCAGAAAAAAAAAACATATAAAAAAGTGAATGACTTTGCTATAAATGCCGATCTAATTAAATAAGTTTAAGTAATGGTAAATAAAGGTTAGTGAGTGATTAAAAGCACGTAATATTTTCACATAGTTGGAAGCGATATACCAATTATATGCAGAAATGGAATATATCATTTACTACAACATTTATTTCCTCTATTTGGTTTAATATTTAATATAAAGGAATATTGCTGGTGGTAAGTATGAGACCTAGAGTCAATAACCTGAGACTTATTGATTACGAACAGTGAAATACGTGACTTAGGAAACGAGTTACCTTTTATCAGTAGAGCTTTGCTGTTACGGAAGCTATAAAGACCATTTTTCTCAGAAAGTTTACCAGAAACCTCCTTCTGCTTTTTGCACGGTAAAAAAGCAAATCGAACGAGTGCTTTAGCTCGTTTATGCTGGTGCAAGCCTTTTGCATCCCTTTACGTCTGCATAACGCTTTCCTTTCATGGACAAATGCCTTTTTCCGAAAATAAAGAAGACGCACGGTGCCATTTCAGTTGAATACGGGGAGTGGTTAATGGTAAAAATTTGATTATTTTTCAAATTATCGGTCACAACCGTCGATCGATGAGCCGGCGCATTATTGTGCAACAAACGCCAACTTTCATCTTCGTGATATTCGGGCAGAACATATCGAATGCGGCGCACCAAACGCTTCAAAAATCCAACATAGAATACCGTGTTAACGTTTTGGACGTGTGGAACAAATTCTTTGTGAACAATACCCTTGGAATAAAAAAACAAATCAGCATTGTCTTCACTTTTGACTTCTCCATGCGCAATATATTGGGTTTCGGCTTGATCGTCATTTATGTCCTCACGACCACTTTGAAAACGTTGAAACCACTCGTGCACTCTGCTACGGGATAGGCAAACATCGCCATAAACGTTTTTTCATCAATTAAAATGTTTCGGTTACTAGTTACAAAAAAAAAAAAAAAAAAAAAAAAAAAAAAAAAAAAAAAAAAAAAAAAAAAAAAAAAAAAAAAAAAAAAAAAAAAGAAAATCGAAGCTCATTTTCCTACCGATAACATAAACATACTGATACTTCAAATGCAATAAGTTCACTCTCAATCAATGAAATGTCATGAAATTCCCACTGGACAATCGACAAGGATAGCAGATTCTAATTTTGACCGCCTGCTGACAATCTGTTTATACGCGAAGTAGTCCATCAGTTTTTGATAGGTAAGATAAACTCAGCACTCTGATAAATTCCAGTATCCTGTTGGATGCCATTGAGGAAGTGTGATCAAGGTTCGGATATATAGATCCAAGCACTTCGATCTTACATCTACAGCTGCAATACGGTTTAGAATAAGATGCTCATGAATTTCCGGCTTCATGCCGCAAAACAGGCAGTTTGGACAAGATATTTTACCCACATATTTAGGTGCTTCTTTTACTGGCAATGCTCAGAGTGAAACGCCACAAGTAGGCGAAATTTTTCTCATGGGAGGTTAATTACACTTTTAATTCCTCTGTGCATATCTGAGAAATTGTGGCTGTGCAGAGATTATTTTAATATKAATATTTGTACAAATACTTGGCGCTTAATATTTGAACACAACAAATACAAAGGCTTAAGCCTTTATAAAATATTTTTCTGGTCATTGTAAAACATTTCCCTTTTATCAAATAATGAAAAATAAATAAATCTGTCTCTTATACACATCTAGATGTGTATAAGAGACAGCTATTTTATTATAATTTATTTATTATCATTATTTTTATACCGAAAATTGCACATAAAATCCTTAGACATAAATTTCGCTCCCCTCTAAGGTACATTACAGTAATACTCAAAGTCATAAGCTGATTATGTTTATGCCAAATGAATGTATATACATTCAATACATATATGTATGTATGTATGTTTATACATAAAACATTATATAGAACACTTCGTCTTCGGGAGTACTAGGCAGGGACGAGCTGACCAAATCGCAGCCGTCGCTGAGGTTTCGCAGCAAATATGAGCAGCTGTTTGCGCGACTGAGCATAGGCATGAGCCAACAACAGCAACAAACATAGAATTTGTGGAGAAAAGCGCAAATACATAAAAGCATACATACATACATTCATATATACATACAATTATATATAAAATATGCTTGAGCGCATAGAAATTACTGAAGGCGTCTGGGCAAACAGAGTGTGAGCAAAACGTGAAAGGCAAAGGCTTTGAAACAAATGCGGCATTGTGGTGAGTGTGCTCGCCCAACTGCGTACACAAACAAACATACATACATACATATGTACACACAACTAGTATAGTTTCTTATATGAAAAGTATGTGCATGTGTACTTAAGTATTTTTGTATGTCGATATGTGTGTGTTGCTCATCGCTGCCGCCGACAGTCGGCCCACGTTGTTTCTTCGGCAGATACAAGAGCGCCAAGAGTTCACCCGGCCGTTCAGTAGTTCGTGAGAAGCCAACGTGACCGTTTGTCGTCCAACGCAGCAAAGCAGCCAAAAATCTACAAACAAGGAGTGCAATTGTTGTAGCGTGTGCTAAGCTAAAATAAATAAAAAAAATTATAATTTTTCAAGAGAAAAAACTCTAAGCAGCCAACCCAAGTGCTAAACGAGATTTATAAACGAAATTCAATTACTCAAACGAAAATTACATAAAACTTTGGAAACGAAAATTTCGTGCATTTGCTGTAACGTGTGTGTGCGCGTTTAGATTTTCGGAGCAAAAAAAAAAAAATCGAGCAAACGAAAAGTCTAATAGAAATTGGAAAATATCTCTACACACTTTGTTTGAACTCGGTGGCTTCGCTCCCTACACGCGGAGGTAACAAGAAGGGCAAGTAAAAACTAAAAGACACAAAAGAAAAGTCGAAAAAAAGTAATAAAAAAAAAAAATTAACAAACAAATTAACAAAAAATTATTTGAAAAAAACTTGAAAAAAAATTAAGAAAAAAAAAAAAATTTTTCTACAATAACAAAACACAAACACTCATTTGTCAAATTCGATCAAAACAAAGAAACTGTTTTCTTCTCCCAAAGCGTCGTGTGAAAAAATAATGATTAAAAGTTCTGCGTCGATTAAAAATTTGTGGTTGTCCAAAAGCGCCCATTTAAATGCATTGCTCGTTAATGGATTTGTGAGTAAGCGTGCTAAAGCGACTGCTTTGAGTTTGGTTGAGAATTTGGATGAGTCGCCGGCGAATGGCAACGGTCTTAACGGCAGCAACAACAACAGCAACGGCAAAGCGAAGACAGCGCTGACAGCCAACAGTGGCACTGGCAACAACAACAACAGCAACAACGGCACCACCAATTTAACCGAGGCGAAACAACAAACATACTACAACAACACGGTATGGTTAGATGATCGCAGCAAGTATGGCCACACCGGCAAGGAGTTGCAAGAGAAAATTGCCGCAGAGGTGAGTGACGCACTTTTGTTGCAAGCAAGCTGCACTAGTTGCAAGTAGCAATTAAACTTTTTAATGAATACCGTGTTTTCGTAACACAATTATAACAGTAACAACAACAACATTTCCATACATCCTGCCAACCAACCCAGTTATGAGTATCGATTTTCACGCGTGATATAACAGCTGAATCGCCCACGCAACACACCCATTAAAATGAGTTTGTACAATACATATGTCACATATGTATGTATGTGGCTGTGGGTTAGTACAGCGCGCGTTTAATGTATGCCACACTTTGCGTTATGTGCCCTCCTCTGCTGGGTTAACAAAAAAGTCCGTGTTTTGTATAAAAATTTCGTCCTTTGTGCCTTCGTGCTGGCGCCAAGCTGCCATAAATGCATAAACCCAATGCTAATTGTCGGCAATTTGTCTATCAGTTATCGTTAAAATCGCTTTGTGCTTAAATACAGCGCTGTCAACAAATGCTCTTAATGCTTAAATGGAATGTCTTAATACAGGGTGTTGCTGTATAAAGTTACGGATTAGCGAAAAACGATGGGTAATACCGCCTAAGGAATAGTTTATGGTTCGCAAATTGACGATGTTGTTGTTAAAACTAAGCAACAACTTTGTGAAAGATATCTGCCGTACGTCTGAACTTCTTTTTTCATTTGGGGTTAATAATTTGGACTTCAGTGTAACACAGAGATCGATGGTTCTTTGACGACCCTTCATCCACGGCTAAAGATTTTGTATAAAAAAAAAAGCTCTGGGTTCTGTCAATAGCAAACGGAATGGCGAGTCATTACATCCAATAATCTACTAACAACCACTATACTTATTTTTCTTTGCTGACGTAGACACCACCTACGCGGTCATATTCGCGTTTACAACAGCGCGCCAGTAGTTTTACACTTTCGCTGTTTTCCAATAGGAGATTCCAAGTGTAGCTAGGTTCTTCTCCACCTGTTCTTTCCTACGGAGTGAAAGTTTTCCTATTCCTCTGCTTATCCCGACTGGTGCTGCGTCGGATACTCCCAGAGCTGGAGTGCTTTTATACATTTGGACGACTTTCAGCCAGGGTAGTCGCTGTCTCTTAGTTTGTCTATGTCGTGCTTCTTCATGGTCGGGCAATGGAACGTCGGCTCCATCGTCATCGATGGGTTAATCCAGTTCGACATGTCCTGGTGTTATGCTTCCACTGCCATTCAGCAGGCTGGTGATGTATTCCCTCCATAATTTTTGTATGCTTTGGGCTTCTGTCACAAGATCACCTTCGTGGGTTCTGCAAGAGTATGCTCCGGTCTTGAAATCTTCTGTTAGTCATCGCATTTTTTCGTAGTTTTTCGAGCAATACCTCTGTGGGCCAACTTGTCAAGCTCATCATATTCACGCCTTTCGGCCACTTTCTTTTTTTTTGTCTGCAAACGCGTCTAGCTTCCCTCTTCAACTCTCGGTATCTATCCCATCACGCACGTCTTGTGGTTGATTGTAACGTTGCGAGGTAGACAGTCTATTTTTTCTCCGACACCGTACTCCTCATTGTACCAGCTGTTCTTTTGCATTTTCCGAAAACCAATGTTTCGGTTGCAGCTGTACGTGGAACTTGAAATGCCATCCTACAGTTCCGTTATACCGAGTTACTGATGAGTGCTCTCACAGAGCAGGAGTACTAGTCGAGTAGAAAATCATTCGGCTATCTTTTGTGTTATCATCGCTGCAACAAGATAGTGGTCTGAGTTGAAGTTAGGACCTTAGGGCGTGTACACGTTTTAAACACTGGAGGCGTGTTTTCCATCTATCACAACATGATCGATCTGGTTGGTGGCTTTTCGGTCCGGAGACAGCCAGATATCATGATGAGTGTTTCTATGATGGAATCAGTCCGGCACTCGAAGTGTAACTGGTGTATTATTTTACTTCGGACCTTGCTCTCCAAAATGGCGCAGTGAGAATAATCCATTGGATTCGCATCTAGTGAATTCGAGAGCCATTGTGTGGTCGTAATGAAGACCGGAACGTTGTTTTTCCGTCATTCTTGCTTCACCCGCGCTTTGTAAGACGGTGCTGAGTCTTGTTGAAACGTGCATGATTTGTAAGTGAAATGTTTGTTTGCCCATGGCTTCAAAGCAGCCTCCAGAACACTTTACCGATAATATGACGCATTTACTTTGACGCCAGGCTCGATGAAAACAATTGGAGAGCGCCCATTTGCGGTGGCAGCTGGTGGCCAACCGATGACTTAGATTCTCGTATGAATGGTCGGCCAAGTAAACCCTATCGTTTTGAGAGTTTATGAATTGCTCAATTGGAAAAATTTTTTCGTCAGAAAAGACAATGTTCGGAATTCGACCGCTTTCGGCCAAAGGCCGCTCTCTCAAGGCTTATTTGTTGCTGCTTCGGGGTGAGATCATGGGCCTTTTGGAACTTGTAAGGCTTGACCTTGAGCTCATTTTTCAATATGCGTCGCATGCTGCTGTCGGATATTTTCAGTTCTTCAGCCATTTGATTGGAACTTCATCGTGACGTTGCAGTCTTTTCATGATCACCTCCATGGCGTTTTGCGATGATAGCAGTATCATTGTAACGAGTGATGGTACGATAAACAAAAACTTTATTCACATTAAGATGTTTGAGCTCACGAACAATTGCTGTGATTTTCCAGCTAAATATAAAGAATTTCATTGCTGATCACTTTTGTTTGCGTTCACTTTTGGCAAAACGCTTTTGTACGCTTGTGAACAATGCTCCGAACTGTCATTCAGAAAATGTATAAACAGCTGCGCGACCTATATTTCGGGCTTCGGCGAAGTCGATCAGCTCCAACCCGTTTGGAGATATTTCATCAAAGAGGCTGAATTTACTGAACTTAAACATGATTTATCGAACAATAATTGCGGTCAAACCAAATCGATAGAGTCATCAAGTTATATGGGAGAATACTTCTTCAAAATAGTTCCAACTATAAAGTTTTTATGAACACTTGCGGCATTTGCTGGGATCGAAAGTATTTAGAGGTATTTGAAAATGTTTTGAGAGGTATGCAAATTATTGGGGTACATATCCTTCATATTTGATAACTTAACGGCTCCTACGATTAAATAATAATAAATTTAGTTCATTTCCGGCCGAACCGCAAATTCCAAAGCATTATACCCAGAAATTTTCTGTGGTGAAATTCAGCCTCTTTAACCACTATTTTAGAAAGCCTTATCCCACAAAAATGTATTCGTACGAATTCGCCCGCACTATCAAAATGACCATTAATGGAATTCATTATCGATAAGTGGCTTTTGGTGATTTTTGCTAGTCCAAATTTAACAATACTTTTATGAAAGACGACTAAACCACTTCTGAAACCTTACTTTGTGATATAATAACAATAAGAGTAATCCTTTTTATTTTTTTGTAGGCTTTGTTGTTGCGGAAAAAATTATCTCTACATATGTATATTTTTGTTTAGTTACATCTCTGTTGGCTAAAGAATATTTGCTAATAATACCCAATTCCCACCTTATTACCCAGTACATATCGTTCCATATATTGACATACATACATATTAAATACGCATATTTAGAAATATGTGTATTGGAAATTGTATGTTAATCAGCAAATATTGACGTTTAATTGTCACTTATTTTCGCTAAAGATTTCATTTTGTTGACAAAAATTATTTTTTAGCGGCGTAGTTTTATTTTCACAACAAAAATTTCGAATCTCGTTAGCAATTTGCTTGATCCTGTGTATTAAAAAATATGAGAAAAACAAATTAATATTATAAAGTACTTATAAGTATATACTTGTTTGAGTTTTTGTGAAAGAACATATTAGTGAATCACTTTTATATTATATATTTACAATACATATGACCATGTGATGCATTTTGGTGCCAAGCCCCTTTGGGGTGTTGCTAAATAGTCCAGTGGGCGTATACACCTCACACGTTACTTCAGTTTATTAGTTCGCAAACTGCAAACAATGTGGGCTTGATTAATTTATGTTAAAGTTTATTAGATCGATAAAGTTGTTTGAAGATATTAAATTTTATGGGAAAGAATATATAATATGTATATGTATGTCGTCAACTAAAATGTAAATCAACGTAAAAGGAGGGAAATTGTGTTTTTATTACTTACGATCATATTATAAGTACATACGTATAGGTTTAAGTGCATAAAGTTTTCAACTTTTGCTGTCATATATAACCACTATATAACCATTATATAACCACTATATAACCACTACATAACCACTATATAACCAATATATAATCATTTCATAACCACTTTTATAACCAAATATCTATGTGATGTCAAAATTTTTTTGCATTTTGGGTGACGATATATTTATTTCTATCACCTATGTAAAATAACACAAAGTGTCAAAGTGTTCACTGTTCGAATTCATGTAAATAAATCATCTAATTAATGCTAAAACAATATTTTTTTATTATTAAATAAATATTATAAATATTATATAATTATTTGAAAAACAAATAAGGAAGAGCTAAGTTCGAGTATAACCGAACATTTCATATTTTTTTTACTAACAAGTATTAAAGCCTTGTATTTTATTTGTATTTTTAGTGCATTTTGAATTGCTCATACAATTTTTTTTGATGACTCATGCACAGCTCTTGGTCGATGCTACGGCTGCTACTATGCCGGTCTCTTTCGACCAATTCAGCGATTTTATCGCAATTTTCGACGACAGGCCTTCCGGAGCGTGGCGCATCTTC